ATCTTTGATTTGTTGAACGTGAGCTTCGTCGGTTGAGTTTGATGGTCGCCCTGGACGCTCTTCGTCTTCGACACGTTCGCAGCCGGCTTACAACTCACTACACCACTTGTAAACATTTTTTTTAGACATAGCCTCATCACCAAAGGCTTTCTGCACCATCCTCAATGTATCCGCAGCAGAAAATTGATTCCGTAAACAAAATTTAATGCAAATTCTTTGCTCAACAAATTTCGACATTGCAAGAAACGAAAAACTCACTTTTGGCAGCTCACAAAACGACACGTTTCTCAAATACTAATGAATATTTTGACATAAAATTTGACATAAATGTGACTGACAGTACTATCAATCTAAAACAAAAAAATAAGTATCCAAATCCTTCGACGCGCGCAGTTTAAATTCAAATGTCACCTAATGTTTTGGGCACAATAAATTGAAATACTTTGATGGCAGTGCCACGTTCATCTATTTTAAGAATAAGGGAACATAAGTGATTTATCTTGAGCGAACATGCTTAATGTTAAGTTGATGTTTAGTTATGGCATTTTGTAGGTTTTCGATTAATGGCACTTTGTTGGTGGGGCACTGTTTACGCCCACCTCCAAACTCGGTTTTACTTCTTTGCCGCAGAACACATATAATATAATGATTTATTATTATGTCCCAATTTTTCCTCAATTGATAAATGTGTAGATATAACAAATGAATTTCGTAAATATTGCACAATTGTTGAACAACCATTATCTGACATATGGCTTTTGACTCTGTTGTGGTTGTGAAATATTTTGATTGCCCATTCAGCAGCGTGTCAATATCAACAATAAAGCTAATTAAGTAGCAGACTGTGGTGGCTCGCGAGTGTAAAACGACTTTGTACCTACATACTGTTAGGCTGCTGTCCGTGCTACTACCAACTGTACAAACATGCATGAATTTATTTAAGGTACGTCTAAAACTTTATTTAGCAAAGCCTTAGTTTGCTTTTGAACTTCCAAAATATTTACAGTAACTCTGGCAGACACATAATTTGTGACATGGAAATTCTTAGTTGTCTTTAATTATTGGTACCCTGAAGTCAAATCTGAAAACGGAACAGAACCCACAAATATTCTGAAACCTGCCGCTTCAGATTTTACAATACTACTGTGGTCAAATTGAAAGGTGAAAATTACACTTCGCGTGAGTTTCAAATCGGTAAATTTTTTTCTGTAAGTTGGTAGTACTGTTATTTATTATTATCTGAGATACGCGACGTTTTGGCTCTAAAAGTGAATTCTTTGATTTTTTGCCAGATTTACCTTCGTGTACGTAAGCACTCTCACTAGAATAAAAAAAAAGTTACCAGTGAACAAAATCTGAAACAAAAATTTCTAAGAGACAGTGAAGCAAAAATTAAAAAAGGCATGTTTGTGGGTCCGCAAATAAGAGAAATAATGAAAGATAAAACATTTGCGGAAATGCTCAATGCAACTGAAATGCGAGCCTGGGGTGCCTTTAAAGACGTTGTTAAATATTTTCTTTGAAATGTGAAAGCTGACAATTACAAAAATATTATGACTGAACTTCTTACTGATTATAAAAAATGGGCTGCAACGTGTCCCTTGAAATTCACTTTCTCGACTTCCATCTGGATTCTTCCTCGAAAATGTAAAGACCATAAGTAAACCATGGGAACGTTTCCACCAAGACATTTTAACTATGGAGAAACGGTACCAATGCTTACCGATTACTTCTGGCGATTCTTAAGGGATACTCCAAAAACAAAATTTCGCTGAAAAATACCGACAGTAACATTGTAAGGTACCCATTGGTTAATATTATAATATGTGACCTGGTCTACGAAAAGGGCGCTAACGTGCGAAAAAAAAATTAAAAAAAATTAATGTTAAAAATCTCATCTTCCATTCGAATCAACTAAAAAGTGAAAATTGATTTTTTGAATTTTTTGGATTTTTTGACACCTAAGCCCCCTTTCCGTAGACCAGGTCACATATAACAATAATACAATATTAACGTCCATCTAACGCTGTTTTTTATTTTCATTTTATTTTTTGAACAAAAATGCTTATAGCAAAAAAAGTATAGGTGATAGAAGAAATCTGCAGCTATTTTCTTCATTTCTGGCAATTTTTACATATTACACAACACTTTGCTCTGCTCATATCACAAAAATAAGTAGATTTTTGTTTACAAGTGTAATTTTACGCCACTAACTCTTCATAATATTTTTTATGTTCAAATAATTTCAATAAATTACGTATTATCCACATTTAAAATGGAATAAAAAATTCAATTCAAATTAATCCGAATTGAATGCAATTATAAACGATTTATTGCCAGCGACCAAATTCAGAAAAATCCCAAATTACCAAATAAAAATATTTCTTATAAAATTCCAAGTAAAATAGTAATAAATCTTTATTATGAAAACTTGAAGCAATTTTCCTTAATAAATAATTATCTATTTTACTCTTTCTGCACTTAAACAGACACGCAATTTAAAAAATTCAATCAACCTAAAGAATTTTTCAGTTGATAACAAAAAAAAAAAAAACAATTTTGTTAAAAATATTTAGTGCAACTTATTTTATTGAACTTTTAAAATTAGCTGAAACATGCATTCATATTTAACTCTCATCACAAGAATAGGAGAAACAACACCAACAAGTAAGTAAAAGCATGTTATATCAGAGTTGAGTGGTGCAGAGGGCAAGAAAAAGTTTTAGCTATAATCCGCAGATGCCAGTCGGGATCCTTGTTTAACAACCATTAATTCTATGACTCTAATGCTGCCTAAGTTTCCGCTTATACCCAGCTATCTTTAATCTGTTGGTTGCTGCCTTCAGGAAAAATAATTGTTGACACACAGGCACCAAACAAAAATGGTCAGACAAAGATGGCGAAATAAAAACAAAACAAGTAATGGATGGCCAAGTTCTAAGTTTAGAGTACAAAAGCTATAAGTATGTATGTATGACTACAACGAGTTTGAGACCCGTATCAAACATTCATTTTAAACATTTATTGAAAGCTTTCAGAACTCATTTTAAATAAATAAAATCAAACTAAAATCATTCAGGTAGAAAATAGGTCTCATACAGGTATCTCGTTATAAGCAACAATGCAACAGACTTTTCAAACTCTACTCACATTGCTATATTGTTAATATTTTTGAAATAAATTTCATATTTAATATAGGCGAATCAATTTAAGATTAGTGAGCTGTGCGAGAAAACATTGAATTTGGTAAACTATGTAGAATTGAATTTTTTTTATGGAATAATGACAAATATATCCAATGTCAGAAACATCTTTCATTAAATGAGATATCAAACCCTCAGTTTATTACGACGTGAGCATAGTGCATGTTAACTTGATTTGTTTTTTTCTATTCTAAAAATTGGATGGAGGATAAGAGAATTCGTAGTAAAAAAATTATATGCTATATTATATCAAAAGGAAAAAGCTAAGAATGTTATATATTAATTAATAATTACTACTACCAATTATATCCTCAGAAGCTAAGGGTAAACGCGAATTAGATTTAATAAGTGTTGACAATATTAACAAATAAAGAAGGAAACATAATATTAACAAGTAAGAAACTACGTTCGGGAACCACCGCATCATTATCATTGAAATAACGAAAATTTTTAACGCGTCACATTAATTACTTTTCGATTTGAATGACGCACACCAAGTTTCCCCGAGATATCTCAGTTGTTGAGCTGAGACGATGTAGTCATGTTCCTTTTCTATCCGCATGTATTATATAAAGTTGTATTCTGTACTCTTGCCAACAGGTGCTACTTCGGACTGAGTAGGCAATTGAGCAGCAAAGTCCTCTTTCGACGAACAAAAACCAAACTCTATAAGTCACTCATAATTCCCGTCCTGCTATATGGTGCAGAAGCTTGGACGATGTCAACAACTAATGAGTTGACGTTGTGAGTTTTCGAGAGAAAAGTTCTGCGAGTGATTTATGGTCATTTACGCTGTATGAGATATATGACGACATTGACATAGTTCAGCGAATTAAAAGACAGCGGCTACGCTGGCTAGGTCATGTCGTCCGAACGGTTGAAAACACTCCAGCTCTGAAAGTATTCGACGCAGTACCCACCGACCAACTAGAATAAGACGGGAATAACCATAGACAGCTACTATACCGGGGGGCCGGTTGTTCAATATGCGTTAAAAATGGGTTTGCCTTATATAAATAGTTGCTGCAGCTGAAAGCCAGAAGAAAATGTGGAGACGGTGTCCCACTGCCTTTGCGACTGCCCATTTTTACCACAAATCCGCAAACCAAACACTCGAAAAACATAAGGCACCACACCTTGAATGGATGTCTACAAAGCGCAAATAAGTAGTTCCACTCAGAGCACCAAATGGTATATGATTTGAGCGCAGCGATGAAACGGAATATCAAAACTATAACGACAATGCATCAAAATGTCGCATCCAGTGCTAATTGTGCCCATGGTGTCAGCATTTCTACCTATGTATATCGAAGTCGTTTCATGGTTATTTTGAATGCAGGCCTGGTTAATTAAAATTAACACCAAGTCGGAAGCAATTAAAGAAAGTTGTACCGGAAAAATTAACACACACTAGTTGACCAGAGGGAACAATTCTTCTTCTAATTCGGCTGCACAGTTCCATAGCAATAACTTATAATAGATGATTCCTTGCCAATCTCACCGAGAACATAAGAAAACATTTTGACCGTCAGTCTAGGCTTGCTTATCCTTTAAATTCCAAAATAGTTTAGAAAAATGTAAACAAGTTCAGACTTTAGATTTTGGTTCGTATTCGGATCCCTTTCGGTTACGTTGATGCGATTATTGTAGGAACCCATTATAAAACAATTTTCCAAGGCAATGATTCAACTTAGTCTCTTCATGTTAAAGTATTCAACAATTCAAAGAGACTTCCAATTACAAATTCATATATTTAATACAAACATTTGTTTTATATTTATTTTAATTTACCTCGAATTGAGCCTTACATAAAAATAAAAGAACTAATTACAAATTATTACAAAATTTTTTAAATCAACAAAATTTCATAGAATTATACTAATTGACTTTCTGCTTGGTCTGTTCACTGCCGATTTGCCGCAATATCCAGCGTACCAACAGAACAAGAACTCCAATGCAAACAACGACGGCGGCTACGACCAAAGCTATCACGTCCAGCAAATAGAATTGATACCACTTCAAGTCTAAGCCGGCAGCGCGCAAATGACGAGCGCCCTTATGACGTATTACATAATCGATCCAGTAGAGCGCAGTCTCACGTGGACCCATGGGACGATCGTGGAATATGCTAGAGAAGCGTTTGATATTCTCGCGATATGTGCTGTTGTGCAGCAGTTGATGAAGGCTATATCTTAGCTGCTCACTGGTGAGTGTGTGGAAGTCCAGCACTATAGCATAACCATTGCTCTCGGCTTTCTTCAAATTAAGATGCTGTGGGAGTAAAAGGAATAAGCTGTTAATTTTTTAAAAATCAGATTTTAGTTTAACTCACCTGATCGCAGTAGAAGGGCATACCCAGTACGGGCACGGCATGGTAGAGAGCTTCTTGTGAGCCAAAGAGGC